TCCATTTTTCTAGTCTTCTATAATTTGAGCTACCACAGACTGTGAAATGATCCCTGAAAAGATTCTGAAGACTCCTCACCTTTTTCTGTCCAAAGACCCACTGCTCCTCATGTTTACAGGCATCAGAAATCACAGTACAAGGAATGCAATAATCAAGGCAAAAGGATGAATGCTTTATCTTGTGTTTTAAGCAGAAATTTGAGGTATTGCCAGATCCATCACTAAAATAAACCCCAACTATAGAAATGGAGGTCCATGGAGCTATGAAATTTACTTCACTGTATAACAGGCTAAAGGTGTGCAAGGGGGAATTGTGCCACATGAGACAAGATAAAATGATATAATTTTCTCCCTCAGAGCTGATACACTCCATGGTATACATTTTTCCAAAATCACTCTAAATATGAATATTTTAGAGGTTAATATGAAGATCAAATGTGGAATGCATTTGCTGAAAAGATTAATATCTTTTCATTAAAAATGAGACTGCACTGTTGGTTCAGCATTTGCATTTAGATCGAGTAAGTAATAAGTATATTTACTGCTTAAGACACATATCTCCAAAATGAAAAATATGGATAAAGAAGGTAGTGTCCATCAGCAGAGGTGGACCAGCTTTTTCTGTTTTCCAGCTACCCATTCAAAGAACTTAAGCCCTAACAACAAGAATGCTGTGATGTACTTATCACAGCAGAACTGGCTGCAAACTGCAGGGAACATTTATGCAAGCACTCATTCCCTCATGTGAGCAGAGTCTGGGTGAATATTTATCACTGGGCTGCTGTTGACTTGAAAAATTGCTAACCACTGTACAGTCATCCATCACTGTGTGGGAATGTACAGGAATGGGCAATTGCTAGTTGTTACACACTGCTTTTTGTTGCAGCTGTTTAAAGCTTAAAGCCATCCAGTCAAGCAGGAGGCTCAGCTGCCATTACATTCAGACAAGTGGTTCACACAAACATGAGTAGGATGGGCTAAGGTAGCTCCAGGATTCTCATCATTTATGGTATAAGGATTTCAGCTCCATGGTTTTTAAGTACTAAAGAGAGAGAAAAAAAAGTCTGGTTCAAATAATAGCAGATCTATGAACCAAGATTGGTTCAAATAGTTCCAGAGCACAGCACTTGTTTACCAAAGTGGGGGCGTGGCTTGTGCAGGTCACTCTCACTGGAGAATATACATTTCATTTACTTGAACCTAGCCCAGGTTTCTCAGAATCATACAAAACTTGAATTGGTTTTCTTGAGGTGTTTAAGAACACATGTGACAGCATACTCCAGCATGCAGCAGAGATCTCAAACTATTTGTTAACTTTCATTCAAATTAAGCACAGCAGTTCCTATTAAAAGCAAAACCATATTACTCCTCAAAGTGTGAGAAGTAAATATTTCACTTCGGCAACTGTTGTGGCAGCTTTCTTACGGTATTTTAGTCATATAAAATTTATACAAATCATCCAGCTACTTTCCTGCAATGCAGAGGGGTTTGTAACACTGGCAAAACAGTATTGTGTGTAAGCAGAAAATCTGATTACTGATCCATAAAAGAAATTTAAGAGTTGTTTCTACAAGAGTACAAATGTTTTCTCCTCCTATGCACATGAGAAGCATTATTTTTCTTTCACTGCAGGGAAGTGTCACTTTGAAGTGGACTTTCAATTCCTGAAATCAAAAATTCAGGGCATTTCTTCAAGGCTTCTTTCCTGTTTTTTTCTTCTTCCTCTTTCCCCCCCAACCCCCCTTCCTGTTGTGCTGTTTTGGGTCATTTGGACCATACACTTTGATGGAGGGCATTGTTCTCCTCTGAATTTATGAATCAAAATGTATTCTCCAATGGATATCTGCAGGTATAATTTGCCCCTAAACAGTCTTCAATCTTTATTGCTGACACATTCAAGGATGCCTAACTCCCACAAGAAAAAAAAACCCACATTAATCTTCAAGAATACGTCCTTACCTGCCTTCTGAAAATGAAAATGGATGCTCTTTGAGAAATTATCTGAGTTTTGCTGCAAACCCTGAGGATCATGCACTTTTGAAAATAAATTTTAATCTGAAAAAAAATATAAATAAGAATACACTGGTATAGAAATACAAATCCTCCATAGTGCTAAGTCTTTCCTTGGAGGCATGAAGCACTCAGCTTCCCTCAGCAGATGTCAATAGAAATCAAAAACACTCAGCAGCTTGCTGGATGCAGTCTGTGGGATTCCTGCATACACATTTTTCTGCATACTGGAGAAAATTACTGTTTTGCTTGATGCTGCTGTAGATGATACTGTACTATCCTATGGAATTAACTCCCAAAGGATACACATACACACTCCAAAGTCACCTATCCATGCTTAATCAAACACCAATTCAATTACTACCTAATTACTAACTAACAAAAGAAAACAGCTAGGTTGGGGATCTGAGAGTGGACCAACAACTCAGAATAAAAACCTAAGACAATCTTTCTGCTCCTAGACAGTGTAAGAAAGAAAACAAAACTCAACAGAGAGATGCCTTCAACATTACATACTCCTGCTGCTGCCTTGTGCACAGAACTCCTTTGGAATAGCCTTTAAAGGAGAGGTCATTTTACACACCAGGGAGTAGTCCCATCTCCATACTCTCAATTTAGCAAAAGACCCAATAAATGCCAGCCACAGAGAAAAAATATTTTGAAGGCTTGTAGAAATTTAACAAAGTTGTCTTCATTTTGAGCTGATCCTGTGTAGCTAAAGGAACAGGCAGTTGCACAGTAGAGGTTCTCCACTGAGATGCCAACAAAATAAAGGTAAAACCAGAGAAGGCAAAAGCATTGCTCTCTCCTCCTCACAAATGTTGTTTTATGTGGACTTTGTCCAACCATTATCATTCAGTGCCTCAAGCTTTTTTGTCCTCTGAAGCTACTCACCTAACTAGCAAGGCTTTAAGGGGACAGATCATCTCTGTCCCACGTTTCTACAATGCCCTTCACAGAAGATTGTGATAAACAGCCAAAACATTTAAAATCTACACAGGTTCACCAGAGAAAATAGGAGAACAATGAGGCACTGATATCCTACGGAGAAGTGGCAAAGATTACTCTCTTCTGCCCACTACCTTTCCAGCATCCTGAAAGTCACTTCTTCAAACCTGATGATATGCAGATACATATCTAGCAATAAGCTAGATACCCTGTCTCTCTCCACCTGAGCTACATTGGAATACATGAGTTATTTATATAGTATCAAGATTATCTTGGTACCCAGAATTGTTCAGAACAGGATCATTGGGCTGTTTGTCCCTCAAAGCTGAGGTTAAAAATAGAAGCTATACATCTTGGACCATGCATGGCTAACTCCACAGATCTAAAAAGAATGCATGACTGCAAGTTTCTACACAAGACAAACATAAGCAGGAAGGGGGAGAAGAGACTGAACCCATGAAGATGACAGAGGGCACAACACAAAGCATTTTGTGAAGAAACAGAAAACATACTTTTTCTCAAGCCTTTCACCTGACAAGGCAGTATTAGACTGGACTTTAACTGCAGACAATGCTTGCTTTTAGTGTAAGCATTTTATACAGCCTTACATTTTGGCTCATAAAACATACAACATTTGCAGCAACAGCAAAAATTATGTTGCACTCTCAACAGGGCTGCAACTTGCCATGTCACCTTATAAGTAAAGGTATTGAATTGGCTATTATTAAAAATCATGAGGAATTCAGAGCCTGCTTTCAGAATATACTACACAGCTGTAATATCCATTCAATTGAGGCCAGACTTCTTGTATGGAGACAGCATCATTATTTCATGAATCACCAGTGACCTTTGGAAGATACTAGGAAAAGCAGGCATGTTCATTCCCCTCCATTGATTTTCTAATTTTGAGTAAATTGGATTAATCTGGGGAATGGTTATCTACTAGGAATAAAAATACCTAAACTGACTTTAGAAAACAATATAAAGCTTTTGAGCTGAAACAATTAATTTAGAAGGGAAACTTGACAATATCTTTAAACTTAAAAGAGAGATCTAGACGCCCAGACCTTAGTTTTACTGGACATATATCTAGAATATATGTCTGGTTTACACATTAACTGTCTGCTGTTGGAAAAGCCAGCAGAAAGACTATTCACCTAAAATGGGAAGCAGTATGGGCACCGTTTCCATTGGGCTAAAACAAGAAATAAGGTGCTGTACATTGAGAACATTGGACACTCTGGAATCTAACCAGCTTAAAAGACAAGTTGAGTAAATCAGCACATAGCTGAAACAGCCTGCAAGAAAAGAACAGGGTTGTCTCCAGGATTCTAAGAGCACACAAGGCTACATAATCAAAAGGAATGGTGAGTTACAGAGTAACTGTTTCGGGTCATCATTTTATTGGTGGACAGATCTTACATATTCTGAAAGCTAATCTGTTTTAACAGATTGGCTCTACTTTATGATCTTCTGAATATGAAATGACCATTTCTAAGCTTTCTTTTATATTGATTTATGCTCTCATAATATTAATGATCTATAATAAACATGGATTTTTGGCACTATGGTAATTCACCTTAAAACCACATGCAGAATACGTGTCCCTTGACTATATTTTTTTTTGCATTTTAAATTTTTTACCTATGGGGAGCCAAGATAACTAGTCCATACAATAAAAGAAAATTCTAGAAAAGGACTTAGAGCACCAAACTGTAACAATCTCATAGCAAGCTATATGCACAATTAGGTTTAGCTTTGGTTGTTTTGGTTTTTTACTTCCAAACAGTCAATGACCCTCACCTTCCAACCCTAAATGTCTTGCCCAGAAACGATGAACCACTAGATTTATAAATACTGAACAAAGCATACAGTTTCTTATGCCCAAATAGGAAATAAACAGAACTATTAATAGACTCTTCAAAGTTGAGTATCTGAATCCCTACTGCCACAATATTCTGAATCTCTTTTCACATCAAAGCAGATTATTATAGGCATAAATGTTAAAAGGTCAGACTGGTGTTTGGAAAATGTCCACTTACCTCACGGTCCAAGAGAACAGGTGACACCACTGTGACAATATCTCCCTTTTCTGGGTCAATATAGAACATATTTGGAGATGGCTTGGTAGGTGTCTGTTTGAGGATGTTATACCTCAGAAGAGCATTGTCTGTGCTGGAGTCATCAGCATCAAAAGCTGTCATACGCATCACAGTGGTTCCTGCCGGCAAAGCAGACAGAAAACAGGTGACTTGTGAGAACATGAACAATTAGGCTGCTTCACATGTGAGAAACAGGGGGTGCAATACATAATTATCTCATCAAAACCACTAAGTACTTTCACCTGATAGTTTGTACATGCATTTGTATTATTTTTAGTTGCTACTGAGCAAACAAAAAAATAGTGTTTCTGCTTTGCTGCAAACATTTAACTAACGTAAGTTCTCACATTCATATGCTTTGTTGCCATCCATATTCATTGCAGTTTACTAAATGAGTTACAGACTTATCTTTTCACCTCCAGTTCTACAGGTAAATATCCTGCAAGATACTTATGATGAAGATGACAATATTGAAAAAAGAGAAAAGTCTCTGTTTCCCCTTTCAAGTCTTGCACAGTTTCAGAACTGGTTGGACATTATGATTTCTGTCAATAAGAAATTTTGTAATTATTAAATCCTACATTATTATTATTTGCAATTTGTTCACAAGTACTTATTGTTATTAGCCTCAATTTAAAAAACCCAAACACTTCTGATGCCAGGCTCTCCTGTGAGTGACAGTGATTTTTTTAACATGAAAATCATACAGCATACAGTTCTGCTCTGGAGTGCAATAAGGTAAGTGCTGCTGACTACACAGATCTCTAAATGTTGTACAGAGGAGAGGCCTCACTCTATTTGTACCTCACACCTAATACAGGCAGAACTGAGATCCTGCCAGTTCTCTACTTAGCTACTGGAACACATACTCATGCATCACAGAATTAAGTCTTTTCGTCTCTCTCAGACAGGCATGCCAGAGACTGACAGAGCCAACAAAATTCTGCCACAGAATTCTTTTATTTGCTTTGTACAGGACATTGAGAACCAAAGAAAGAGAGCAATGAAACACCTGGGCTGAACTGTGAGATATTCACCCTGAGATCATTATAATTTCTTGATCAGTTTATTTATAGGTATAAATGTAATTATTAAAAACAAAACAAACAAACAAACAAAACACACAACAAAAAACCCCCAAACTAACTAAGAGTAATCACACCGAAATGAAAGTATTTCTGGTAATATTGACCTGAAGAAAAAAAAAGATTATTAAGAAATAAAAAAGTAATGATCAAATCAATAAACTAGCTTTAATGATGAAATCAAAGTTAAGTAACAAATTAATGCAAAGATTCTAGCAAACTTTATACAATAAGGACTCTAGGAAGTTAACCATCCTTTTGCCAAAAAATCCCAACTTTATCAAGTTCCACCAACTACACCACTTACATTTAGGTAGCCTAGCACTGAAACAGATTATCTAATGTGTGACCCACAATGTCAAAGGTAGTTATAATTGGTTTTTAGAGATTAATTCTTACATGGTGGCTAACCCTTTATTTTTCCCTGTAGACTTTCAGTATTATTTCCAAATATCATGATGGAAAACACTTCAAATACAACATCTCATTTCTCAACAGCTCTGTAAGACCACAAGATCTGTTCTCAGTACCCACACAGCCTTTTTTGGCAAAATAAATACAAGTGATTAAAAACTTCTGGTATAGACAAGGCCTACAAAATTACATTGGAAGTGCCTGCAGAACTGAAATATATATAATTCATGTACAGTGACAAACAGTGAGTTAATATTCTTTGTGAAGGTCCTGAATCACAGATCATTTAAAAACAAAATAAAAATAAATGTTGTGGTAAAAGTAAAAACAAGCCCAGCTTCATTTATAGGCCAACATAACAACTGCCTGGTTCACTGTTAAACAAACAACTAGCTTGCTTAGATGTTTCTTCTTTTTTCTTTTGCTGTACATCCCAGAGTACAAAGGATTGCCTCTTTTTATAGTGACCTTGAATATAAACCCTCACAGATTCTGCTCCACTGCTGATTCAGGCAGAGTTACACCTCTGAGAAAAATAACAGAGTTCTGACAGCATGTTGGTTTTATTCACCAGTGATTAAAGGTCAGACAGCTCAAAAAGCAGCTTACCACTGAATACCATGCCATGTTTTCCAACACTACAAGATGATCCTAGCCCTGATATTTCCACTTCTTCTTTTATTTCTAAGAATGAAAATTCACCCTCTTTTCACAAATACAACACATTGTGTTATTGCTTAGATATTTATCACGTTTAAAGAAGAAACTCACATTAGATAATGTGTTTCATGAAGATTTCCTAAGTCCTAAGACTCCAGTTAAATGAATAAGAATTGAGGCAAATCTTCAGGGGACATTAAAGAGTGCCCAAGTACAAGTGATATTGAATGAGTTTCAGGTAATTCTTTCCTGAAAAAGTTAATTAAAAAAATGCTGTACTCAGGTACATTAGTCTATATTTTAAAAGAATATATAATTACTACCACAATTAATCTATTAGATGAGTTGATCCCCAGCATAGATATAGAAACTGACAAAAAGATATACTCAGGCAGAGATCCTATTTACAAAATTATCCTAAACTGTTCTACTGAAATATTAATACAGTTGCCCTACACAGTTCTACTGAAATATTTCTGATTATAAGGCTGTGGAAGGCACATGTAGATTTTAAGATCTAATGTAAATCCCCAAATCTCTAGTTTGGAATAAAACTGGCTTAATACAATGGCTGAATCTGATTCTGATTTGCCAGCTGCAGCTCTTTAACCTTTCAACTCACTGGACATTATATTGTTCTGTGCAATCACGCCTTTGGTGCACACAGATAATAAATTCCAGCAGCTCAGAAGAGTAGAATTTTACATTCATTTTGCATAGAGATGCTAGCTCTGGGAGGAAAGCTGTAGAAAATTACATCAATATTTTTCAAGGTTGGTTCTGTCAAAAGTTTTGAGATACTGGTTTCTAGATTCCATCAGAGTGGCATTTACGTTGAAGTGAAAGTTACTTTATTCTCACAAGTTCCTCTAACAGATGTAAAAATGCACTAAAAATTTGGGGTTGTCTTTAGATATCACTGCATTAGAACAGCTTATACAAAAGCTGCACTTTAACCTTCACTATATGCTCTCATGGCTGCATGAACCAGAGAATGGGAGCCCTTCTGCTGATTGGGAAGTTAGTATTTTCCTCCTGCAGCCATGCTGAGAATGGCTTGTCCTCAGAAGCATGTAATTTACTCTCTTGTAGAGAAAGCAGGTTCACAAACAACCCAGAGTTCAATACTGCCCATTCATTTCCATGCACAGCAGCTGAAATATATTCCAGGGATCTTTAGAAGCCTGATAGCTGTATTTCCAGGGGAGAGCTTTCCTAGTTGTGGTGGTCACAGGGAGAACACATACGTTCAGGATTGGACACCATAAAAGATGATGTTCAGAGAGATCTCTTTCTTAAAAACACAGTGACATAAAATTTTCCTTTAAAAAGCCTACAGGATTCATCTTGTCCAAAAGAGTTTAATTCAAGATGCACACTTCCTCAGTATTACTCCTTCATCATAAAGTTTTATTCTTCATAAAAGATTCATTTCCACAGACCCATAAACTGAATACTTCTAATTCAGTGTCATTTTATAAATACTTCCATTCCTGGCATCAATCAAATGCAGCTGGCTTTCAAACCACAAAACAACAGCTTGCTACATTATCATGTTAAACAATATATATTAACTTATCAAGCTCCGGAAGAAATGTCTGCAAAATCAGCAGCTTTCTCATTTTAATGGTGATGTGCAGCTACCAATTGAGGCATCCTCTCTCAGTAAAGGTATAGTAATGCCTTGGTGGATTTCAATATTCATGGCTTATTTGTCACACTTTCTGGGCAGTTTCACTATTATAATAACTAGTCAAAATCTCTGCTTGCACCTCGCAGAACTCCTCCTTGATCAGATGTACCCCACTAGCCAAGTCATTGCTCCAGTGGCTATAGCTATCAATCTGGTGATTAGTCATTTGGCCTGTAAATTGACTTGGAAATATTGGCAAAAATTGTCCTTAGGCATTAAGAAGTAAAAGATAATGCTTACAGACTTTTGTGGTGATCAGAGCAGACTGTTTCTTTGGCATTTTGTTAATTACCTCTTAATAACCTTTCTATTTCCTTCTCTCTTTATTTCTGTCTGTTTTGTTTGTTTGGGCTTTTTTTTCCCCCATCAAGATGCAAAAAGAACATGGGGAACAGCTCAACTGATGGGTGAAGCAAATAAGTGTCTTAGGCCTACAGCCTTAAAAGAAGGCTCTGAATTTGAATACTAATGGTAAAATATTATCCAGCTTAAGGACTCAACAGTTTTATCTTTGAGAACTACAGTGCTCAAATTCTTCACATGGGAGTTTTCTCATGTTATTTTCACTATTTTTGTGAGGCTTTGCTGTATGTTTAGCATGTGTTACAGAAAAAAGAAGGGTCTGCTTTCCTAATTACTGTGATAGAATTGCTAAGTTCTATATCCACCTTCTTCCCAAGTGCAGATGTACCTCCTGCACACTTGTAATTATGAGTTGCACAATAACACAATTTCAAAAGGTAAAGCTATTTTAACCCAAGAAGGAGAACAAAGAATGAAAAGTAGGATGAACAAGGAGAAAATCAAGAGGGTTATCTAGATCTCTAAAGCACATTGCATTTCTTGCTACAGAGAAAACAGACACCAATTTTCAGAAAATGGAGCAAAGGAGGATACCCTCCTGAATACCATACTCATAATAACTAATTACATGTTTGACTGTCACTTTGTACTTTAAAGACAACAAGCCCCAGGGAAGCAAAACAAACATAAGAAGAAAGGTCTATTATGGTTCCAATCAAGGGCATTTGACTTGCAATCAAGGGCATATTAACTTGAGTTACTGAGAACTTGAAGGTCTTGCTGAACAGAGAAGGTATTTAGTAAGAGTTAATGAACTCAGGCTTCTAGCATATCTTATATTTGTATAGGGCAATAACTTTCTACCCTGCAAGACTTTTTCCAATTGTTTATTTAGATCTCTGACAAATTCAGGGTATGTGAATACTTTTTACCTCACTGATCAGTACACTGTGCATACCAACAT